CTGGACCAACTGGGAGGAACACAGTCTCTACTGAAAAATACAAAAATTAACTGGGCCGTGGTGGCCCGCAAGCCTGTAATCCCAGCTACTTGGGAGCTTAGGCGGGAAAGAGTCGTTGAACCCGGGAAGGCAGAGTTGCAGTGAGCTGATAGTTATCGTGCCACTGCACACAGTCCTGGGCCAACAGAGTCCGAAGCACTCCATCCTCACAAATAAAGTGATCATGTGACATAGTTCTGGCCAACAAGGATAAGAAAATTGGTTGGGTATACTGGCTTACACCTATTATCCCAGCACTTTGGGAGACTGAGGCAGGCAGATGGCTTGAGACCAGAAATTCAAGACCAGCCTGGGCAACACAGCGAAACCCCATCTCTTTTTCTTTCCTTTCCTTTTTTTTTTTTTGAGAGGGAGTCTCACTCTGTCGCTCAGGCTGGAGTGCAATGGCGTGATCTCAGCTCACTGCAACCTCTGCCTTCCAGGTTCAAGCAATTCTCCTGCCTAAGCCTCCCAAGTAGGTGGGATTACAGGTGCCCACCACCATGCCCAGCTAATTTTTGTATTTTTAGCAGAGGCAGGTTTTCACTATATTGGACAGGCTGGTCTTGAACTCCTGACTTCAGGGGTCGCCGCCTGCCTCGCAGCCTCCAAAGTGCTGGGGATACAAGCATGAGCCACGGGATGCCTCGTATAAGTGAAATCCCCATCTTTACAAAAATACAAAAATTTTTGCAGATGTGGTGGCATGCTTATAGTTCCAGCTACGTTGAGAGGCGTGCAGTTGGGAGGATCAACCTGAACCCAGAGAGGTTGAGGCTGCAGTGGAACCGCTGATAGCTCCAGCCTTCCGTGATAGCTCCAGGCTGTGTGCAGACAGACCAATGTCTCAAAAAAAAAAAAAAAAAAGATTAAGAAGAATTTATGCGGCAGGGTGTGTGGCTCATGAGTGTGAATGCCCAGGCACTATGATGAGGCCAAGTGTGGGCACATCAGCGTGAGGTCAGGAGTTGTGGAGACAGCCTGGCAACACTGGTAAAACTCCATCTCTACTAAAAGAGAGCAAAAAGATTAGCTGCGCGTAGAGGAGTGCGTCTGTGGTCCGAAATGTATTGGGACCGCAAAGGCAAAGAACCACTTGATCACCTGGGGACGGCAGAGCGGTTTGCAATGAGCTGAGATCACACCACTGTGCTCCAACCTGGGTGACACAGCAAGACTCTGTCTCAAAAAAAAAAAAAAGAAAGAAAATTTATGCTGATGAAAAGGGGGAATTTTCTTGTGTTCCCATACTCTCCATATCCTTTTCCTTCATGTTTAGAATGCTATCATCAATAGATGTAATGACTGTAATTGCAGCAGCCATCCTGAATCCAAGAGGAAAAGGCCAAAGTTTCTATTTAATTGAAAAGAATGTCCTGACCTTTTATCCAACTCATTTTAAATATTAAGAAATTAACCAAAATCTCATAATGCTTTTTCAAATTTATGTTAAAAATGTTACTAAAAGCTTACTACCCTAGCAAAAATGCAATTATTGCTCCTCTAGAACATTTACTTTTGTACTGATTTCTAGAAAAGATGTGGGATTACTAACAGCACACATTTACAGGTTTTTTTTTTTTTTTTTTCCCTGCTTTAAAGTTAATTCTAAATAGAAATTGCTTAAGAATCTAGAAATTGAGGCTGGGCATGGTGGCTAATGCCTGTAATCTTAACATTTTGGGAAGCCCAGGCAGGAGAATTGCTTGAACCCAGGAGGCGGAGGTTGCAGTAAGCTAAGATCATGCCATTGTACTTCCAGCCTGGGTGACAGAGTGAGACTCCATCTTTAAAAAATAAAAAAAGAATAAATGATCAATCCATCTCAGATATATATTTTGTGTTGGAAATTTGCAATGAAGATCAAATGGTATACCTAATGCACAGTGAACAACCCATGGTAAAGGACTGGCTTTGCTAATAAGTTTTATTGTTTAGTCAACCATGACTCAGCTAGAAACATCTATCTAAGCATAAGAAATGAGAAAAAGCAGCTGGGCGTGGGGGCTCACACCTGTAATCCCAGCACTTTGGGAGGACAAAGCGGGCGGATCACGAGGTCAGTAGGTGGAGACCATCCTGGCTAACACGGTGACACCCTGTCTCTATTAAAAATACAAAAAATTAGCCACTCGTGGTGGCGGGCAACTGTAGTCCAAGCTACTTGTGAGGTTGAGGCAGGAAAATAGGAGAATGGCACGAACCCAGGGGACGAAGCTTGCAGTGAGCCAAGATCGCGCCACTGTACTCCAGCCTGGGCGACAGAGCGGGACTCCATCTCAAGAAAAAAAAAAAAGAAAGAAACAAGAGAAAGGAAACCTTTTAGTTTTATAAAAAATAAGCATTTGAGTTAAGATGTGCTCAAATCTCAGCTCTTCCACCTCTTTGAGCCCTAGGTTTCTTAGACTATACTAAGAACTCAGTGATATAAGCATAATGCCTACATAAACTGGGTTGTCAATGCTTGTTTTGTTTTTGTTTTTTAATGGTCAAGGAAAGACTTCAAAGGATGTTTCAGTTTCTTGTAATATGTAGAAAAGCTTAAAAGTGTAATTTGTTAGGAAAATAATGCAATAGCCAATGTAATTCATGAGAAAGGATAGCCAGTAGGGTAGTTTTTCTGATGCTATGAGGCTACATGATCATTATTTTTACTTTTCTCTGTCTGCTTCATGTTTTACTGCAGAGAAGACTTCTCAGCAGCTACATGCATCATATAGGAAATAGCTACCCCATACATACAGCTTTCACTTCCCAACTTCAACACTAGTACCATCTACACCTAACTGGTATTTCTGGGCCCTTATTTCAAATTCCTAGGGTAGAAAACTGGTTGGCTTAGTTTGGATCGGGTATTCATTTTTCTTTTTTTTTTTTTTTGAGACAGAGTCTCGCTCTGTTGCCAGGCTGGAGTGCAGTGGTGCGATCTCGGCTCACTGCAGCCTCTGACTCCCTGGTTCAAGTGATTATCCTGCCTCAGCCTCCCAAGTAGCTGGGATTACAGGCACACGCCACCACACCCAGCTAATTTTTTTGTATTTTTTAGTAGAGACGGGGCTTCCCCATGTTGACCAGGATGGTCTCGATCTCCTGACCTCATGATCTGCCCGCCTCAGCCTCCCAAAGTGCTGGAATTACTGGGATGAGCTACCATGCCCAGCACCGTTTTTCTTTTCTAAGAGACAGGTTCTTGCTCTGCTCCGCATGCTAGAATACAGTGACACAATCATAGCTCACTGTAACCTTGAATTCCTGGGCTGTAACTATCCTCCCACCTTAGCCTCCTGAGTAGCTAGGACTACAGGCATACACCACCACACACAGCTAATAGTTTAAATTTTTTGTAGAGACAGAGTCTTGCTATGTTGCCTAGGCTATTCTCAAACTCCTAAGCTCAAACAATCCTCCAACTCAGTCTTCCAAAGCGCTGACATTACAGGCATGACCCACCATGCCTGGCCAGGTATTCATTCTTGATCCAGTACCTGGGAGTGGGAATCACACATGATATAAATATACAAGGCCCCCCCTATTAGAGGGAGACAGAGGCTGGGCACAAACCCAAAAGGTATCTACTACAACATTATTTTGCAAAAGCTTACTTTCTAGAATGATCTTTTTATCTTTTATTTATTTATTTTTATTTTTTCTGAGACGGAGTCTCACTCTGTCACCCAGGCTGAAGTGCAGTGACTCGATCTTGGCTCACTGCAACCTCCACCTCCTGGGTTCAAGCAATTCTCCTGCCTCACCTCCCGAGTAGCTGGGACCACAGGCGGGCACCACCACACCTGGCTTATTTTTGTATTTTTAAAGGAGATGGGGTTTCACTATGTTGGCCAAGCTGGTCTCGAACTCCTGACCTCAGATGAACCCCCGACCTTGGCCTCCCAAAGTGCTGGGCGCGTGAGCCACTGCGCCTGGTCATACAATGTTCTTTTTATTTATTTATTTATTTTAAGGGGGCAGTTTGAGATAGGAGGCTTCACTATGTTGCCTAGGCTGATCTCAAACACCTTCAAGATTCAAGGGATCCTCCTGCCTCAGCCTCCTGGGTAACTAGAATTATAGGCACACACCACCACATCTGGCAAAAAGTTTATTTAATGAAAGACTACCCTCTGAATTCTTCCATGGATGCTTCTTAAGATGTGGTATAAGAAGACATGGAAGATAATCATAATGTTATAAGATTATATTTTGGTCCCACTGCTTTTATTTTTTTTAAGAGATGGCGTCTCATTTTGTCACCCAAAATGGAATGCAGTGGTGTGATCACAGCAAACTGTAACCTTGAACTCTTGGGCTCATGTGATCCTCCCACCTCAGCCTCCCAAGTAACTGGGACTACAGGGGCAGGCCACCACCACATCCAGCTAATTTTTTTTTATTTTGTATAAAAAAAATAGGGGTCTCACTATATTGCCCATGGAGGTCTTGAACTCCTGCCCTTAAGCAGTCCTCCCACCTTGGCCTCACAAAGCACTGGCATTACGGGCGTGAGCCATCACACTTGGCCCACTGCTATCTTTTTGTCAAAGACAGTGCCTGACTTTAGCATCTTCTTTGGTACAAATGCTTTGTCTTTTTTTTTTTTTTTTTTTTGAGGCAGAGTCTTGCTCTGTCACCCAGGCTGGGGTATAGTGGCACGATCTCAGCTCACGGTGCAACCTCCACCTTGCAGGTTGAAGCAATTCTCCTGCCTCAGCCTCCCAAGTAGCTGCTGGGATTACAGATGTCTACCACACCTGGCTAATTTTTGTATTTTTAGTAGAGACGGGTTTCACCATGTTGGCCAGGCTGGTCTCAAACTCCTGACCTCAAGTGATCCACCCGCCTCAGCTTCCCAAAGTGCTGGAATTACAGGCATGAGCCACTGTGCTCAGCCCACTTTCTCTTTCCTGAAAAATCTTTTAAAATTTATTTGATGGACTTTGTCTCTAAATAAATAAATAAATAAATAAATAAGTGTATTTGATGATCAATATCTAAGTCTACTCACCACACCATTTTGTCACTGGAAAGGCAGAAGTGACCTCTCAAGGCAGCCAGGGCAGCATGGGTAGAATACAGATGGAAACCAATGGGAATCCCACAGGAACCACAGAATAAAAGGTTGTAAGTACTAGGAGTAGGGAAAAACAGAATATGGGTAAGAATAAAAAATCATGTAAGAAATAAAAAATAACTAGTCTCTGAAGCATTCCTAACACCCAAGTCAGGGTGAAAATTATATTGTAATAGGAATGAGACTGAAAGAATATCACATTCAAGAAAGGGTAACTCACGTTGTAATTTAATTACATGCTGGATTGCGGATACCCTCTTATGTTCTGGTCAAAGCAGTCATGGATGTATAATTGTCACTTCAGTAAAGAAAGGTAACTTACCACTAATAAACAGAAAAACAGCTAACTAATCTGATTAATACTAAAACATTTAAAACTACAAATCACCTTGTAAAATGGCTATCATTATATAAATTCACATTTGTTGAAAAAATAATCATGTTGACTGGGGCTTTACTAAACAAATTGTTCATAGAACTAAAATCAAGATTTGTCTTTTGCATATATAAAAAAAAGTTAATGAAAAAATGCCCAGACTAAAAGAGAAAGAAAAAGGAATCCCATTACCCTAGCAAGCCATCTATTTTGCTTTCCTTATCCTCTGAAAAGATTACTGATGAAGAGTCAGATGGTGATTTTAGTTCTCATTACAATTCTTGAGCAAGTCATCATATTTGCTGGTATATAAGACATATTTAAATATTAAAAAGGAAAATTTTGGTCAGGCACAGTGGTTCACACCTACTGTAATCGCAGCACTTTCAGAGGCCAAAGTGGGCAGATAGCTAGAGCCCAGGAATTCAAGATCAGCCTAGGCAACATGGTAAAACCCCGTCTTAAAAAATAAATAAACAGCCCGGGCACGGTGGCTCACGCTTGTAATCCCAGTACTTTGGGAGGCCGAGGCTGGCAGATCACGAGGTCAGGAGATCAAGACCATCCTGGCTAACATGGTGAAATCCCGTCTCTACTAAAAATATTAAAAAATAGCTAGGTGTGGTGGCGGGCGCCTGTAGTCCCAGCTACTCGGGAGGCTGAGGCAGGAGAATGGTGTGAACCCAAGAGGCGGAGCTTGCAGTGAACCGAGATAGTGCCACTGCACTCCAGCCTTGGCAACAGAGCAACACTCCCTGTCTCAAAATTAAATAAAAAAAATTTTCTAAAAAGAAAAGGCACGCTTTTAGAAAGTATTTCATTCATTGCATGTAGCTAAAGGCAATTATTTAAAGTTGCTTTTGGTTAAAAGGAAAAGATTAATTATATTAATATAGAAGTATTGCTATGAAGAATTTTTTTTTTTTTTTAAGACAGGTTCTTGTTCTGTTGCCCAGGTCAGAACATAGTGGTACAATCATAGCTCCCTGCAGCCTTGAATTCCTGGGCTCAACTGATCCACCTGCCTCAGCTTCCCAAAGCTGGGATTACGGGTGCATGCTACCATGCCCTACTAATTTTTTTTGGAAGAAATGGGGTCTTACTTCCCAGGCTAGCAGAATTCTATTAACAAAATACAACATAAAAATCACATAGCTAGCCCGGGCATGATGGCTTATGCCTGTAATCCCAGCACTTTGGGAGGCCAAGGCAGGTGGATCACCAGAGGTCAGGAGTTCAAGACCAGCCTGGCCAACATGGTGAAACCCTGTCTCTACTAAAAATATTAAAAAATAGCTAGGCATGGTGGCGGGTGCCTGTAATCCCAGCTACTCAGGAGGGTGAGGCAGGAGAATCGCTTGAACCGGGGAGGCGGAGGTTGCAGTGAGCGGAGATTGTGCCATTGCACTCCAGCCTGGGCGACAAGAGCAAAACTCCGTCTTAAAAAAAAAAAAAAAAAAAAAAAACACATAGCTAAAAAGAAATATTCATGTCAATGGATACTAAAAAAGAACAAATAACAAAACATATTAGGTTTATTGGTAAATGAAGTCCCACACCACACATATAGTAATCTTGTGAATATAGGTAACCAAAAAGCAAACTGTGAAATAAAGTGTCATTAATTTGAAATAGGAATTAATTAGTTCAGACAAAGCACAGTACTTATAAACAAATGTCTCAGTGGACATTAATTTACTGGGCCGGGCGCAATGGCTCACGCTTATAATCTGAGCATTTTGGGAGGCGGGCAGATCACCTGAGACCAGGAGTTTGAGAACAGCCTGGTCAACATGGTGAAACTCTGTCTCTACTAAAAATACAAAATTTAGCTGGGTTTCCAGAAGGTTTTCAATTTACTTTGCCCATATCCATCAGGGGAATAACTATCTATAGTAGCTATAGATAGTAACAGTAAATGAGCATTGACTTCAACTTAAAATCATCAGCTGCACTGGCCCCTAACAAGAGAGAAAGCCTGTCCTTTGAAGCTTTTTTTTTTCTTTTTTTTGGATGGAGTACAGTGGTACAATCACAGCTCACTACAGCCTTGACATCCCAGACTCAAGTGATCCTCCCACCTCAGCCTTCCAATTAGCTGGACCACAGGTGCACACTATAATGCCCATCTAATTTTTAAATGTTTTGTAGAGATCGGTTCTTGCTATGTTGCCCAGGCTGGTCTTGAACTCCTATGCTCAAGCAATCCTCCCACCTTGGTCTCCCAAAGTGCTGGGATTACACGTGTGAGTCACTGTGACCAGCTCCTTTCAAGCCAGGTAATACTTCTCCTTTCCACCTATGAAAGTCTGAGATGGCATCTTCTTCCAATAGAAGGCTGTTTCATCTGCACTGAAAATCTGTTGTTTAGTGTACCCACTTTCATTTTCTGCAGCTTCTGCATCAGTACTTGCTGTTTCACTTTGGACTTTTGTTATAGAGAAGGTTTCTTTCCTTAAATCTCAAGAACCAACCTCTGTTTTTTTTTTAGATAGTCTTGCTCTGTCACCCCGGCTGGAGTGTGGTGGCACAATCACAGCTCCACTGCAGCCTCGACCTCAATGGCTCAAGCCAGCCTTCCTTCTCAGACTCCCAAGCAGCTGGGACTATAGGTGTGCACCACCACATCCGGCTAAATTGTTTTGTATTTTGTAGAGACAGCATTTCACCATGTTGCCCAGGCTGGTCTCAAACTCCTGGGTTCAAGCAATCCACCCACCTCGGCCTCCCAAAGTGCTGGGGTTACAGGTATGAGTCATTGCACCTAGCCAACATTTGCTACTTTCAAACTTCTGCAGCTTCCTCACCTCTCAGCCTTCACAGAATTGAAGAGAGTTAGGGCCTTGTTCTGGATTAGGCTTTGGTTTAAAGGAATGCTGTGGCTGGTTTGATCTTCTACTCATACCACTCAAACTTCCTCCATATCAGCTTATAACTGGAGTAGCACTTTTAATTTCCATGTATTTGTTTGTTTGATGGAGTTTCGCTCTTGTTGCCCAAGCTGGAGTGCAATGGTGTGTTCTCAGTGCACTGCAACCTCTGCCTCCCGGGTTCAAGTGATTCTCCTGCCTCAGCCTCCCAAAGAGCTGGAATTACAGGTGTGTGCCACCATGCCCGGCTAATTTTGTATTTTTAGTAGAGATGGGGGTTCATCATGTTGGTCTTGAACTCCTGACCTCATGTGATCCACCCACCTCAGCCTCCCAAAGTGCTGGGATTACAAGCGTGAGCCACCGCGCCCGGCCCCATTTTTTTCTTCATATTCACAATTTGGCAGGACTTCACATGTCTTCCCAGCTACTCGGGAGGCTGAGGCAGAATGGTGTGAACCTGGGAGGCAGAGCTTGCAGTGAGCCGAGATCGCGCCACCGCACTCCAGCCTGGGCAACAGAGTGAGGCTCCATCTCAAAAAAAAAAAAAATCAAACCAACAAAAAAAAAGGAAATGCTGTCAACAGACTTGCTCAACAAGTACATGTCAGTTCCACGCTCCTCAGTCTCATAAAGTCAGGGACTAGAGACCAATCTGTAATTATCAATACGTACCTGCCTTTGAGTGAACCTTCAATGCCAACTAGGAAGGGCGCTTCCAAAACGACGTTATTTGTAACTCCTAGGAACACAAACACGGGTCAGAACTCATACTCTGCGGGCCTTGAAATGGAAAATCTCTCCTCTAGACAGACTCATCCCGGCCATAAATGTCAGGAGACTCCCCAGTTCCCTGCCCCATCCCCAGGCCAAGGAGTTATGTGCTTCCAAATTTTCATTCCGTTTTCTTCCCCAGGTGGTTCTCTGCCACCCGGTGGAGAAGGCGGGAACAACCTCTCGGGCTAGCCTCTGCCTTTCCCGAACGCCTCACTGCACTCACTGGAGAAGACCACGGCCCCAAGGGACCGCGACAGGTCCCAGGCGAGGTGCACCGAGTCGGCGAGCACGGCGTGGCACTGTGCGCACTGGAAAACAGCGCACCTCTCAGGCTGCAGCCAAGACGGCAGCTGCGAGACGGCGGCCGGCTCCTCAGCCCCCAGCCCTGCGGGGCCGAGCGGCGAGGACCCCTTCACCACCTGTGTATCCCACTCCATGGAGGTCGTAAAAGAAGCTTCGTCAATCGCCCTCTCAGTGCCATCACAAAAGTCACCCTGGGGCGGCGTTGCACAAGGCGAGCGATGCCGCCGCGACTGAGCTGCCATCTTCTCTCAGCCGGCGCCGTCGTTTCGAATACACGCCAGGCCCCGCCCCAAGCACAGCTCCTGCGTCCTCATTGGACATCGTGGGCAATCCAAGCACTGGAGTCCCAGTCCGCGCACTCGTTACCGGAACCGGCCTTACAGGTCCTTCGGCGCCTGCGTATTCGTGAAGTGTGAGAAAAGCGCGCGACTGTTGGGACGGGAAATCAGCCTTTCTATTGGTCAGGGTTAGAAACCCCGCCTTTGAGTCATTTTCAACCAATGGAAGCGCGGCATTCTTCATTTAAACTGTCTATAAATTTCTGCTTAGTCAGAATTAAGAGTGGCGCCAGGGATTTGAACCTCGCTTACGAGATTTGGTGATCCATCTTCTGAGTATCGCCAGGATTTTGAATCGCGATGATCATCCCTTCCCTAGAGGAGCTGGACTCCCTCAAGTACAGTGACCTGCAGAACTTAGCCAAGAGTCTGGGTCTCCGAGCCAACCTGCGGGTACGGCGCTGGCGGGGCAGTTCCCTGGGCGGGCGCGGCGGGAGTAGCGGCCTCAGGGAGATGCGGTGCGAAGGGACCTAGCGGGAAGCCCGGGGACTGAAGCAGCCGTCCCTGCCCCTCGGGCGGTAGATGTGGTTCACGGTGGTCCCAGTTAGAACTCTGATAAACGGAAGAGGAACTGTAGTTTTCACCTCATTTTGAGGCTGACTTGTCTGGGTGCTCACATGATAAGCCTCTGTTCCGAGGGGTGGTTTGTTGTTTTTCGTTTTTTTTGGTTTTTTTTTTTTTTTTGAAATTACTTTATACCTCTTAGGGCATCGATTACGAAACGCAGGCCCAGAAAGCAGAAGGGGTGTCGTTAATCGTTAGACAATTAAGTAAATAATTGGCTCAGCTTCTAGAAAACCCCACACAGACTTCAGTGATTTATAATATTGCCGATAATCTCTTGATACTTTATTGATGGACCTGTCAGGGGGAAAGAAAAAATCGACTTTTAGGGGACCACCTCCTTGGGTAAATTTTTATAACTCAGCCCTGATCTAGTATACTCATGTACTTATTGATGACTGTTGTGGTGATGGTATCTATCAAAACCAGTAAGGTCTTTGACTCCGAGGCTACAAGATGTTAGGAGAATTGGCCGGGCGCGGTGACTCATGCCTGTAATCCCAACACTTTGGGAGGCCAAGGTAGTTGGATCACCTGAGGTCAGGATTTCGAGACCAGCCTGGCCATTAAAAAATTAGCCGGGCGTGGTGGCACACGCCTGTGATCCCAGCTACTCGCCTGTGATCCCAGCTACTCGCCTGTGATCCCAGCTACTCGCCTGTGATCCCAGCTACTCGGGAGGCTGAGGCAGGAGAATCGCCTGAACCTGGGAAGCCAAGGTGGCAGTGAGCCAAGATCGCACCCACTGCACTCCAACCTCGGTGACAGAGCGAGACTCAGTCTCAAACAAAACAAAAACAAACAAACAAACAAAAAACAAGATGTTAGAAGATTTGGGGATTCAATGTAGGATAGCGGTTTTATATATTTTGTTAATAGTTGAGACTTCCCACATAATACTGCTGTATGCTCCCTAGGTTTGTCCTGCAGGCTATGATGATACTGACACTGAATAAATGCCTAAATCAGTCGTCACAAATGTTTTTCTTTTTTTTTTTTGAGACGGAGTCTGGCTCTGTCGCCCGGGCTGGAGTGCAGTGGCCGGATCTCAGCTCACTGCAAGCTCCGCCCCCTGGGTTTACGCCATTCTCCTGCCTCAGCCTCCCGAGTAGCTGGGACTACAGGCGCCCGCCGCCTCTCCCGGCTAGTTTTTTGTATTTTTTAGTAGAGACGGGGTTTCACCGTGTTCACCAGGATGGTCTCGATCTCCTGACCTCGTGATCCGCCCGTCTCGGCCTCCCAAAGTGCTGGGATTACATCTTTTTTTTTTTTTTTCTTTGAGACAGAGCCTTACTCTGTCGCCGGGACTGGAGTGCAGTGGCGCGATCTCGGCTTACCACAACCTCCACCTCCCGAGTTCAAGCGATTCTCCTGCCTCAGGCTCCTGAGTAGCTGGGATTACAGGCGCGTGTCACCATGCCCGGCTAATTTTTGTATGTTTAGTAGAGACTGGAGTTCACCATGTTGGTCAGGCTGGTCTCGAACTCCTGATCTCATGATCCGCCCGCCTCAGCCCCCCAAAGTGCTGGGATTACAGGCGTGAGCCACCACGCCCGGCCTAAATTGTTTAAACAAAATAATCAGGGCCTAAGTGCCTGTTGGGGCTGAATGACCAAAGGGTTTTCCTTGGGGATATTTCTGGGCTATAGTGGTTTGTGGCTCCCCTATACTTTGTAAACAAAGCCTTAATATCTCAGCCTAAATTCCTTAGGCTTTTTTGCTGCCTAGCTAGAATCTTTTATCCACGGCTGCATCCCTGAACACTTGGAACTTTTATCTGTCTTTGTCCTATTGCTCATTTTGACCCTTTGGCCTCAGATCACCTTCTTTCTCCTTTATCTGCCTGACTGTGTGTGTGTGTGTGTGTGTGTGTGTGTGTGTGTGTGTATATTTTTAGTAGAGATTGGGTTTCACCATCTTGCCCAGGCTGGTCTTGAACTCCTGGGCTCAAGCGATCCTCTGGCCACGGCCTCCCAAAGCCCTGGGATTATAGGTGTGACCCACCACCCCTGGCCCATATCAAGTATTTATAGGTGAAATGTTACGATACCTGTAAAATTTGCTGTAGAATACTCAAGGAAAAAGAGGGACACTAGATGAAGTAAGAACGCAGAATGTTAATAATTACTGAAACTGCTAATGGGTACATGGGGGGATTGCACTATTCTCTCTACTTTTGTAGAAATTTTCCATAATAAGATGTTTTAAATTATAAACTGTTGGTACAACCCAGGTGCTCATTAAGTCAATTGCCTTTTGAAATTCTAGTACGTAGCAAAAAAATTTATAAATTGCTCTAATTATCAAGATTTGATTAAAATGAAACACTACAGTTTAAATAAATTAAATAAATTTTACTAGTATAAATATACTAGTATAATAGTGTAAATACTATTTCAGTTTAATCAAATCTTGATAATTTTACTAGTATGATATTATTAAAAATAAATTTATGGCCGGGCATGGTGGCTTGCGCCTGTAATCCCAGCATTTGGGAGGCCGAGGCAGGTGTATCACCTGAGGTCAGGAGTTTGAGACCAGACTGGCCAACATGGCAAAACCCCATCTCTACTAAAAATACAAAAATTAGCCGGGCGTGGTGACAGGCACCTGTAATCCCAGCTACTCGGGAGGCTGAGGCAGGAGAATTGCTTGAACCCAGGGAGGCAGACGCTGCAGTGAGCCAAGATCATGCCATTGCACTCCAGCCTGGGCAACAAGAGCGAAACTCTGTCTAAAAAATAATAATAATAATAAATAAATTTATAAGAGATAATATTAGCTCTTTTGAGAGACTTCTCTTAATGGTAAAGCAAATTGAAGGAACCAGTTATTAATGTTAGTGTGGCCTTTTGTCACTCATGCCCTTACTTCCTTTCTTACCAGCTTAAATTACAAACACTGGGCCGGGCACGGTGGCTCAAGCCTGTAATCCCAGCACTTTGGGAGGCTGAGGCGGGTGGATCACGAGGTCAGGAGATCGAGACCATCCTGGCTAACATGGTGAAACCCCGTCTCTACTAAAAATACAAAAAAACTAGCCGGGCGAGGTGGCGGGCGCCTGTAGTCCCAGCTACTCGGAGGCTGAGGCAGGAGAATGGCGTGAACCTGGGAGGCGGAGCTTGCAGTGAGCCGAGATCGTGCCACTGCACTCCAGCCTGGGTGACACAGCGCGAGACTCCATCTCAAAAAAAAAAAAAAATTACAAACACTGGCACTATTTCCACTTCCTTGCACCTCCCTATACTCACCTGGCAAAACCCAAGCCTGATTAAACCCAACTATGTGCTTAATCTTTGCCTATACCTCTGCAGCTAACTCTAGCTGGAGAAAACACCTAACTTTGTTGAGTGAACTTATTTTAAATATGCAACTCTAAACCTTAATATGGGTATTTGATCTTTGTCCTTTTTTTTTTTTTTTTTTTTTTTTTTGAGATAAAGTCTCGCTCTGTTGCCCAGGCTGCAGTGGCACAATCAGGGCTCACTGCAGCCTCAACCTCTCAGGCTCAAGGCATTCTCCCACCTCAGCCTCCCAAGCAACTGGAATTACAGGCACGTGCCACCACACCTGGCCCATTTTCTTCTTAGTCATGAACTTTCCTATTTTTGAAGATAATTACTTTTTATCATCTTGACTCAACTTGGCTCCCTTCCCTCCTTTGATGACTTTACCACATAGGTCATGGGAAAGTAGATGAAATCGATAGAAAACTGCCTGATCCTTCAACCACCAAATCCCCTGCTTTTTTCCTTTTCTTTTTTCTTCTTTTTTTTTTTTTTTTTTTGAGACAGAGTCTTGCTCCGTCAGCCAGGCTGGAGTTCTCTGAAGTGCAGTGGCATAATCAGGGCTCACTGCAGCCTCAACCTCCCGGGCTCAAGCAATCCTCCCAACTCAGCCCCCCTGAGTAGCTAGGACTACAGGCATGACCACCCTGCCTGGCCAATTTTTTTTAAATTTTAGTAGAGATGAGGTCTGACTATGTTGCCCTGTCTGGTCTCCAACTCCTGAAATTCAGCAATCCTTGCGCCTTTGCCTCCCAAAGTGCTGGGATTACAGGCGTGAGCCCCTAGGCTTGGCCGCACCACCAAACCTTCTAGCCACCCTGCATCTACATGCGCATACTCTGCTTCTTTGCCTGTCTAAGAGCAACCTTTCCATTTATGCTGAAGATCCTGGGCCCTCTTGCCTCCCCTAGGACTACATTCCTACAATTAGAACCTCTCTCCTGCATTAATTTCTCTACTCTGCTAGCTTATTTGCCATAAGGCATGCAATCATGTTTTAATATCACCCATCTTTCAAAAAAATAAAAAAGCCAAAATCCTCTCCTGATCCCATGTCCTCATTCCATCTACTGCCCTATTTTTCTGTTCTTTTCTACTGAAATTGCTTGTATCAAGGTCACCATCTTATAAAGGTTCCCTCTCTCCCCTCACCTGGGCCTATCAGTAGCATTTGGCATGATTGAACATTCCCCTCTGCTCCAGCCACTTTCTGTTCTAGACTTTGATATTTCACTCTGTCCTGCCTTACTAGCACTTCTTTCTGGTTTCCTTGGTTGGTTCTTCATCTGCCAGATCTCTAAATGTGGAGTGCCCCCAGGGCTCTCTTCCTCTCTCTTTTTCTCTAACTGTGCTCTATCCCTGGGTAATCTTATCCACCCCATTTTTTTTTTCTTTTTCTTTTTCTTTTTTTTTTTTTGAGATGCAATCTTGCTCAGTCACCCAGGCTGGAGTGCAGTAGCGCGATCTCGGCTCACTGCAACCTCCACTTCCCAGGTTCAAGCGATTCTCCTGCCTTAGCCACCTGAGTAGCTGGGATT